GTAATATTTATGTAGATTTTCATATACTTATGCCTACCAGCTCTTGCATTGGCCTATCATTAACATACCCTTTCGGGAGATGGACAAATGACTTTTCTAATTATTTCTCTAGCTCAGACATACTTACATACACTTGCTACGGCTTTCAATTGTTTGCGCTAAACGGTTCTATTTAAGTGTCTTTTGTCTCAAGTTGGAATATTTACGCTAAGCAAGGACGCTTATAAGTGCAGACGAAATATAATAAAAGCTTTTCTTGGAATAAATAATATGTATGAAATATTGTTTATAAGAAAATGTTATTAATACTTAATAGATTTCAGTTATTAGCTGGTGTTTGTCTTGTGCAGGTATTTCTATTGTAATAAAGATTTATTTTCCACAAAGTTTTAACTATTAAAATATTAATTAATTTTCTAGAAGTAGCTCTGTGAACTTTTTACACTTCGTTCAATATAGAAAGCTGCTCTGAAGTGCCTCATTAACAAGCTCTATGTATAATATCAATATTTTTTGAGAGCAAAAAATCGGATTACCCACAACACTGTACGGTAAAATCGGTACCAATTCGTCAAAATTTGTCCCACTATTTTTTGAATAATAGCATATTTTTTCGAAGATTCGAGTTCAAATCTTATAGCATCTGTTTTACAAACCTAACAAAAAATTGTAATATACCATTGAATATAAAGAAAATGGAAATGTTGGCTATATTTTTAGTTGTCCGGTAACTGACTGAATAAGCTATATTTCGAACTCCGAAGACAAATATTTCAAATTTGGAAGCTATGTAATGTCGAAAAACGTTGAAATTACTTTTTTACTTAAGACTCAATCTCTAGAAAAAATTTAGTTTTGTTTAATACCCAGCCGAGTGTTGTACTGCGTAATGAAGGCAGAGTCTAATGAAACCGAGAAGTATCAGCCTAATTAATTAGGGCTTATATGAAAATATAGTTTTAAAGAAAGATAACATTAATTCCAATTTCTTTATATAATATATTAGATATATATACTGGCATGTAGTTTAACGATTATTTTTTATAAATGCAGACACTAAATAAGAGCTTTCTAACATCAGCCAATATCAACGCTCACAATTGCCCAATCAATTTGTATAATTTCTGACGTTTTCTCATTCTATCGTTTTCTCATACTCTCGCACAGCTCACTGAAAGATAAATATTTAAACTAGCAATTAGAAACCGGGTTTTATTAAAAGATATATGTAAACAACAAATATATATATATATATGGAATACATATATACATGTAAACTATTTTTCTCATTTCAACTTCTTTCTCTTGATCAGCAACCAACTTGAAGGTTCGCGCTGTCGAATGTGAAAGCTGCATTCGCTTGACATTCCGCATGTGCAAGAAACATCCCACATAAGTTTGTTGAGCCCATGAGTACTGCTGACGTGACGTGGGTTTATGAATCTGAGGTCTCAGTCCTCCAAAAATCTAGCGAATTGCGCTCTAAAACTTACCGAAAACCAAAATTCGCTGAAGTCACTAAAGGCAATCCCAATGATATTTATACATGAGCCAGTGCCTGATCAAAGGATTTTTTATTCAGACTTTTTATAAACTGTCTCGAAAATGTGGGAAAAATTTTCCTCAGGCCGCCATTATGTTATTGAAAAAAAAAGTTTCGAAAATATAAAACAATTTTTTTTTTTTTGCCCAGTTAAATTGAGATGAATCTGTAAGGATAAGTAATGGTAACCGCGAAGGGCTTCGGTTTTTTTATATTATTTTTAAAAAATTAAAAATTAAATTTCTGTCTCGGTTTTCTGTCAAGTCAAGTAAAAACCTTATTTAATGATGCTATGTTTTTACTGAAATAATTTAAAATTGTAATTTTCTTTAATAATTTTTGATTACACCTAACCACTTGCGTAAAGTACTTTTGCTTTGCCAACCCGGGTCAAATTTGACCATATAAGCTACGAATACAGTTCTAGTTAAATTTTAATTATCCGAAAAAGTTTTATAAACAGTAGCAATCAATTAATAGATGATTTATCAAACACGATGACACCTATGCCCTGTATGATTGATAACTAGAGTATGCCAGTAAACGCTGTCCCATGGTGCTTTTGATTATTAGATGTCTTTCACAGACTGCGCCACATAATTCTAATACAATAAATATTTGATTTGAGTTTTATGTTTTATAAAATATACTTGTATAATAGTTTTGACCTAGAAATGGTTTAACAGTGCAACGATTTCTAATCCCAATCGACTTCGTTGAGTAATGAGCATGAGTTTTGGGAAAAAACAATGGCACTAGAAATGTTTACTGTGAAATGCATAATAATTAAGCAAATATTTATTGATGAATAACCACATATAACTAAACATATACATACAAACATACACACCTCCATATGCTTTATATAACAAACATATGCTTTCCCTGACTAACTGCAATTATGCGGTTATATAATAACCTCGAGTGGTATATCTCTGTACAATATTGATGACAACCAATATCTACTTATTTACCTATATATGACTATCGTATATCGATATATGTATGTGTATATGTTCCAAGTACATTGCCACTTTTGAATTCGTTTACGAGACAGATAATATCAGCCCACACATGCTTTCGTTATATCATTACAATTCAATTTAGTTAGCTCAATACAGTTGTTGCTTGTAGTAAGCTTTAATATGTGTACGCTGCCTTTTTTTGTGTGTGTGCGTGTGTGGTCACACATGCTCATTTATAAACAACACCGTGAAAGCCGCTGATGGGCTGGCATACATTTCAATTTCTACACGGTGTGATATATTCAGCACACGACGAAAGTATCAATCAATCTTAATTTAATCCAATTACAACAAATAATAACATTAGTATTGCACCAGCAACAATGGCGTACAGGAAACCAAGTTGGGCCGAACCAAAGGAGGGGGAAGAAATGCAGGAAAGCAGCGCAAAGAAAGCATATCAAAAGTTCAATGCGCTGTTGAAGAAGAAGATACAAATAAAATAAAGTAAATTAAAGGAAAGAAAAATAGAGAAAAATTGGAAAAAATAGAAAAAAACCGAATCAAAAAACAAGACCGTTACGAAATTTACTTAACCGTTTTAATGTGGCAGCGACACTTGTAGCATCAAAATGATGCACAACATTACAACACGCTTCAGCTTTTTGAGCGGCAGCAGGCTTATAAAATGCTGGATAAGTATGAAAAATACAATATATATAGAAAAGCAAAAACCACAAAGAAAAAGAAAGCAAAACAAAATATTAAAATAACAAAAACAACCATTAACAAGGCCAAGTCAAGTGCATGCGATTTCGGCAATCGGCATTAATACTTGAATAGTCAGCTTAAATGACATCATATGCCACTAATCTGACCCCAAAATCAACAACAACAAGCATAGCATACAGCCTGAAATCCCATCAATTGATTATCAATCAAGTGGGAAAATTGCTGCCAATATTTCCGCTGCTGTTGTTATTGTTACTCTTCTTGTTGTTAGTCATATAACCGCCATTAGCCTTTGATTGGCAGTGTAGCGACGCGCTATGCCTAACTTGAAGTGGAGTTGTCCCAGACACACACACAGCACACACTAACGCGTCTCTATTTATAGCATACATTTGGGCACACACACCCAACCAAAGCCAAAGCTCCACGAGGGATAAGTGAATGAGTGAGCGAACGGCAAGCAATGAAATTCCTAATGGAATTTAAGCTGTCAATTTCTGGTGAAATGGTTGACAACATTAAACCAGCACAAAATAGAAAGCACGACAAAAAAAACACGAAAGCGTAGAAAAATTAAAGTGGAAACAAGCATTGGGTGTTACAGAAGTAAATTGAAATGGCATAAACAAAGATGGGGACAAGCGGCGAAGCTTACAATTCTAAAGGCAGTTAAATTGTGGGAAGAGCACGCTAAGATTGGGTCAGCTGCAGCAAAGGTAGTGAATTGTGAGCGAATGTAGGCGGGCGGAATGTGAAAATTTGGTAATGTCGTTTTTCACTAAGGGTGATGGCAGAGAAAAGCTTTTGAAAAGGAACGTAATATACATGGCTTGAAGGGTTAAATACATTGTACAACCGAAACAATAAAAGACCCCGTTTTCATACGAAGAAGTATACCTACTTTGTGGAGAACCAGCAATACTAAAAATAAATTGTTATTACTTTTAAACATATAGAAAACCATATTTTTAAACACATCATTGTTGTTATAGCATATTTTTGTTTTAAGTTTTAAGGATCAAGATTTCGTAGACAGGCTTCTTTAGCTCAAGCCGTTGCTGTCGACTTAGAAATACTACTGATCCTTTAAAAAAGAGCATGTCTAGTATTTAAACGCATTTCAAAGAGATTGTTAATCCCCATAAGTTAGGTTATTTATGATTAAATTAAATGCTCTAAAAAAAAGCTTAAAAAAGGCACGAGTGATAGAAAGATGAGTAAAAAATTTTTATATAAAAGTATAACATGATATGAGCTGATATATTATATATAGACAGACTTAAACAATGGGAGCTTGTAACTCAAGCATCAGTTATCCAAATATATATATATATAAATTTATGTTTCATTCTTGTTATTGTAGTAGTACAAAACACTACCCATTGCATAGAAGCAATAATGGTGTTTTGATCGGAATATTTTGAAGAATCTGCTGCAAACCTAAAACCAATGTTGGCTAATACTTTTCATATAAGCGTAATGAACTTGGAATCCTGTTTTCCTGAAAATTTCTTAAATTTCGGCATTTTATTCTTAAAATATTTCTTGCAAAATATAAAATAGTCACCAGTTCAACCAAAACCGTCTAAATTTAATGAATTCTTGTAATCTTAAAACTCAAGGAAAACAACATAGACTAAAATATATTTATTAACAAAAAAGTAAATGAGTTTTTTTTTCGCTCCTAAAGGTATGCTACATTTAATATTATCTAGCCAATATGGCTTGCTGTCCTTACACAACTTCTCTTATTTACTTACTTTTATGGCGTAGCCCCAAATAGCTGAAAGTTTTCGCTGTTGTTTTACTTCCAGCTTCTTGCCACAAATTTTAGTTCACGCCGTGGCATATACTTTTGGGCGCAAAAGCACAATATAGCGCAGGTGCTAGCCTGTTTATTTGTAGCGCGCACACAGTTTGTAGTACGTGTAGAGTGATATTTCTTATAAATGAGCGAAGTGCACGACACTCCCGGGTGTACTAGACCTGAAACAGGATAAACAATGTTATGTTGGTAGCTGTAAGGTTAAGTGTGCCTTCTTTTTTTTGGAAATGTAAATTAGACTGATTTGATTCTCGGCTCATCAGTTATTCACTTAAGACGCAATACACTTTGATATTATGGACACATTTTTACAAATGAGATTCGATTTTCAATTTGAGTTTGCCACACATTCCATTGCTGGCAGGTATTGGCATGTGTTGCAACAAACTTATTGATCGCTTGTTTGTATACGCTTTGCAATTGTTCCAACTGATGTCTTACTGATCTTCTTCTACACTATGCTTAAATCCGTATTAGCCATTTAAGCTTCAGGGCGTTTTCGCGTTTACATACAGACAAACGAAATGAGCGAGTAAGAAGGGATTATGGATAAAAGCGAAAAGCTTAACTAAGAGAAATCTAGTTACATTAAATATCAAATAAGTACCGTTAATCGTTAAATATAGGTGTTGGTAGAGCTACACACTTTTGCGCCTAAATGTATGCCAGGTATAAATAGGCGCGTAAATTCGAAAATCGTATAAGTTTGAATTGTTTGCCACACAACACTATACGTATGCAAAAAATACTTGCCACATTAATTACAGGATGTTTTGGTTTTATTTTTTTTTTTTAGTTTAACACCCACCGGTCTATACGCCTTAAAGTGTGCTTCGCTTATTCGATGCGTGAGCAAAATAGAGCACTACAATTATCCAACACGTGTTTATGATCGCACAACAATACTTTTAACACACACTGTTCGATTTATTAATTTTTATATTTTTATTGAAATAGAGTTTCACTTCGGTTGAACACTCCCGTTACTTTCAGAAATTATAAATTTAAAATTTTCTGTGTCATATAATATATCAATATTTTTCACAACAAACTCAGCTACAACAACTAGCTGCTGCTGCTTCAAATAAAAATCTGTCTATATACCGTTACAACGTTAAACATGTCAACATTGCCGAATAGTTCACTTCAAACTAAACGTTTTTGCTTTTACTCCTTCAAACCAACTGAAATTCCAACCAGACGAGCAGACTTCGTTATATCCGCCGTATACACACTTCGTGTATGCACTCGCTTCTTTAGCATAGCGGTATATGCCTTGTTACCACCGTTGCTCACGTCGTTATTACTATATGGCTGTTCGTTTACCGGGCTATCGCTGAGGTTCGTTGCTGTATTCGTGAATTCGCCGAAATGTATTAGGATGGCGCTCTTTGCTGTTAGGAGAGTCGTTGGCACGCTAATATAATGACAAGAGGTCGTGTAGTATACTGTTGAACCAGTAAATTGATAAGTAGAATGTGCAGCAATAAATTTTGACCGCGCTCAATAGACGACATCACGAAGTGTTGATCTACTAATGTGGCGAATTCGTTCAGAACTTTTAGAAAGTTTTTAAAGTAAGAGTAAAACGGTTCAGGCAGCTAAGAGTTCTTTGAGTTGGTTATATGTATGAGTGATCTGAAGCCCGAAAGCAGCTCTAGTTGATACTTAGAATATTTACTGACAAGTGGTTAAAAGTGAATCTAAGGATCTCTTCCTCGAGAATTCTGGATGATCTTAGTAATTTTTCGAAAACTTTCAGCAGAAATTGTTAACTCTAACTTTAAGTCCAGTAATATCAGTTCCCTTTCATCTGATAGTTTCCTAAAGCATTACTATTTTATTATAAATTCTGTAACGATTCTAGTAACTTCTTCAAACTATTAGACGATCTTACATAAAGTCTGGTTAGAGCATTTGAATATTAAACTTGGAACTTTGTAGTAGGTAGGTGGAGGATAAAAGTAATAGATCTGGATTTATATTCGGACAAAAACTGTAAACTTGGCAGCATTCTTTAAACTTATGTCGTCAATGGTACAACAACAATAAGGGAAAGAGAAATTATAGTTATATATTGTGGTGAACTTCTGGGTTAGGTTAGGTACTTCTGGGTAATATACAGAAAAACATTCGGTGTCAAAATCAAAATAATTTCATTCGACTTTTCTGCAGTGATCTACTGGGATCGGATACAATATATAATATTGCGTCATTTATAAAAACTCTTAAGAGTCCAATTTAAAACGCCTCTCTTAAGTAAAAACATAAAGCTCCTAACTTCTGAAGAGTCCCGCTATGTATGCAAATTTTGAAATCCTATAATACTAAAAACGAGACCTTTTGTCTCAAAAGTTAGTAAATTTATATAACTTACAGGAACAGTAATATTGATATCCGTAATATAAAATATTTCAAAATAAAAGACATCAACAAGTAACACTTGAACTGCAAGACCCAAAATAGTTTAGTGTTGTGAAAGTCATGTAAGAATATTACGCCAAATAGGAAAGACAATTGTCTATAAAAGAAACTATATTTATTTTAAATTTTTCGTAATTTCAAAATCAATGAGAAGCGCGAAAATCAAAATCTTCTACGCACTTATTATATTAATTTACAATTAGAATCGCTTCTGAGTACCGGATGTGCTCTTTAAGTTAGTAAACCAACCGACTCTCTATCACATTCTCTCTTTCACTCTGTATTGCTCGTCTCAATTGCTCATTAGCTCACACGTATGGGTGCGCAAGCGCCAACTACCCCTAAAATTCGCCTTAAATGCCCCTTAGCAGCATACACGATTTATTCCTAAAACGTGGTGAGTTCAGCCAACAGACATTTATTTCGCTTTCGCTCAAATGTTGCTGCAACATTGTGACCAATCTGTTGCTCAACACTTAATATTCATTGAGGCGTATAGAGCGTGCACATATGCCCGAGCCCCTACATACCAATGTGCATAAAGGTTTACAGTTACAAAAATTTATTTTCTGTGTCATTCGCTGTTTGATAGCGAAAGTGAATGCTACTTGCGGCGAATTGCATGAAGCCGAGGGTAATGCCTCCATATTTTTGGCAAGCCCTTTACGTGCAGCATGTTGGCTAAACTGCCATTTAGGCTTCTGTGTTACTGATGCGTGGATGTTTGTATCTCTCTATGTATGTATGAAGCTCGCATTTTTGGTGTTTTGCCAAATATATTTAGTACCTGGATTTTGTTAAGCGCACTCGATAATCCTCATTTTATTTATACTCGATTACATTTTGTTCAGTGGGAGTAGACTCGAATTTGATATTTTTGCTTCTAATTTAAAATTTTTCTATCTATGGACATTGAGCGCCTATAAATTATTGCATACTTTTCAGCGTGGATATATCAAATCATAAGATTGTTGGAGAATTTTCTTAAATTAGATTCTTCCGAAAATTTTCCTTCAAAATTTTCAGGTACTTACTTAGTCTCGTCTTGCTTATCGCAATTTCCAGTAGAATTTTTACCTAGCATATTGTACATAATAAAAATTTTGATAACAAACTGTGTCAAAATCTGTTTCAGAGGCATTAGCGATTGGACAGAAATTATAACCGAAACCTGAATACCTGAATATGTGTATTTAATAAAGTCGAGGTAAAAATTGTTAACCTGGACTTAGCACCACAAGTATGTATGTTGCTATTAAAAGTAGGGTAACCTAATTTCTTCACATAGGATTTTGGATAAAATATGTTTAAAAAGAAAAGGGTTTGATTATGCATATTCTTTACTAGTTGTTTTTCCAGAACTATTCAAGAAAGTCTGATGACAATTATTCTAAACTGGGTCATCGGGTAACTTATCTACCTTCTCCGCTTGACAACGTATTGAAAGCTACATAGTAAACTTTTTCATAGCTCAGAAACTTAACAATTTTCATCTTTTTAAAGACCGCGTTTCGTCGAAATTTTATATGCTCTTTGCTCTCATTGCCATATGCTCTCACCCAACTTTATAATATTTTTAACATAACCTAAAAAGCATATTCATGCTAACATTAATGCGCAGTGTAAATAAACGACTGGTGTGGCCAGACAGCTGGTGAGTGAAAAGAAATGTCAAAACATTAAGTCATAATCTGCGTCAGACAAAGGCACAGCCGAACATGCCAAACACAACGGGTCATACGGGGAGTAGAAGAATTAATTGAAAGTCGACAGACAATTGGTCGGAGTCAAATTGGTTTTTATCACGTGGACGCCGCCAAGCGGGAGGTCGTACCGGTCGCATTTGAAAAATTATGCGTCGGAAAATTAGACGAAAAGCAAAAAATAAAATTCAAATGTGTATAAATGTTCGCTTGAAAAGCCGAACTAATCAGAAAGTCAGTTGGAAAATTAGCAGACAGCAGACAGGAAATGCAACGTCATCACGAATGCATACGAAATTATTTATGTAGAAGTGTGTGTTAGTGGTGGAGAAACGACTTTGTTCCTGTTTCGAGGTTTAGCTTTGTGGGGTGTGTTTTATGATTTATTAATGTGCAAGTTTAATTTCGAAAACATAATCAGATTAGAGCGACCGGCATGACAGCACACACACACACAAATACATACAGACATACATACGAATATGCTTAGCTGAAAGGATAGCAGAAACAGCAAAAAGAAAAAAACTTGAACGAGCGTGTCGAAGTAGTGGAATTAAACTGGACTAAACAGTTAATAAATGGTAAAAAATAATCTCTTTGACTGCTTTTGTTGTAGCAAAGTGTGAAAATGTGTGTAAAATGAGTGAATGGGACATTTATAAAAATACGAAACAAACCTAATGGTTATGGTAGACTATGACTAAAAAGTCATTAATTAAAATGATAAGGCAAAAAGTAAACATTTAATTTTCGAATAAAAAAAAGGGGAAATACACATTAATAATAGCCGGAATTTAAGCAAGATATTTTAGAGATAAGTGGTGGAATCAAATGAGCCTCGAAACAAAAAACTAGAGCTTCTTACCATGCGATATTTGTAGTTTAGCCGAGCCGTGTAGCGAAACAAATTTCAACGAACAGTTTTGGTATACAAACCCATCGAATCGTAAGTTAAAATTTTACTACTTCGTTCAAAATTTTCGAATGATGTTAACAGATATTTTCGATAGTCGAAATAAATTTCTAAATGGTATCTCATCCAGGATACGAACTCTCAATCTACTAAGTGGTAAGCATGCACCTGATCCAATCCAATATTTTTTGATAATATAAGAATGTTAATATATCTTTAAAGCAGAGTTGTAAGTTAAAGGTCTTAAGCTACTATCCGTTTATTTAACCACAAAAAAATTTTAAAAAATTTTGCGTATAGTTAACGACAACTGATGGTAGTTCAAAGGAATTAATTAATATTATTGCGTGTGTTCACTTCACTTCACTTAACTGAGCTTCTAGGTCTCGCGCGAAATCGGTTTGGATGTATAAATTTAGACAGTTGTGAGTGGTCAGAAAACCTGATGGTTTTTCTATATTACTCCACAACTTCAGGCAAACTAATGTCCTCTACAACAAATGCATCGGTCAGTTTTTGTACTCTTGCAACATGTTGCTACAGTAAAGAAATTATTATAGCGCTGACCATTGATAACGTAAGCTCCATCTTCAATTTAAAAAACATATGGATGAGTACCTTCTATAAACAGACTTTCCGTAATTTGTTTATCAGAAAGAGCCGGGACAGCAATTCTAAGAATATCTACATATTTATACCATGAACAGGGTATAAAAAGTTTGAAACGAAGTTTGTAACACCCAAAAGAAGACATCGAAGAAAAAGACGGGACGGTTGTGTATTTATATACGCGAGTTAGAGCTCAATTTTTAAGATATCGATCTGAAATTTTACATACCTCCTTTACTCTCCGAATAGCTACTTATTTATCGGAACCGTCGATACTGGATCACTATAGAATAAAGCTGCCATACAAAATGGTCGGTCACAATCAAGTCCTTATATGGAAACCTTTTTTATTTGACAAGGTATCTACAACAAATTCTGCTATTGTCCAAGATAAGGCTACAAATTCCGATATCGTTCAGACCTATACGATCTGCCATAAAAACTGATCTAGCAGCAATGCACCATTGAAAAATATGAAAGCTTCAGTGCAGCTGAAGTTAAGGCTTTTTCATGTTCGTACCGCTATTACGGTATAAGCCTTCGCCAGGTAATTTGAAAAGAATATTGTGCATAAATATCAAACACAAGTGATCACTTTGACAGCTGATTTGGCAGCTATCCCTCTAGGAAATTAATTTGTCAAATGGTAATAAATTTGTATTTGCTGTACAAAACTAATTTCCGCTAAATTCCACTCTGTCTAAATAAAATAAATGCAAAAAGCAAACGTATTGAGTTGAGTTGAGTAAAGCAAATCTCTAACATCTCTTTAGTTAAAAAATAGTAGACTTAATTACAGACTGTCCATGTAGATCGCAGCCTGTGTGTATATAAGCGCAGTCCTTGGCCAACCCAAGGCGTAAACAAGCTTTTGCAACACAAAAACCAACTGAAGTAGTGAAA